CAATATACCTGTCTGTTGAATATATTGGAAAGGCAAGCAAAAATAAAGTAGAGCAGCGCTGTCTTAAAGACTAACAACATTTATTCCAGCATGAGTGTTTGTAAGCCAGAGCTTACGTCTTCTGATCCGTATGTACTTGCTGCCACCCTGCAGGGGGCAGCAAGAGGTTAGATGGGGTCAGCACCTTCTTTCCTGATAAGTGACATTCCTTGTCTGTCTCCAGATTGCTACTTTTAGGGCAATTTCCTGCTTCTTCTCAAAAGCTTCATACTCGACAACGTTCTCTCTCTCAGCTAGCACTGCAGCTAGGAACGGGGCCGGTTCCGGGTTTTGAGAGCACCACTCCCCTCTTCTACCCCCACCAGCCCCTCCACATGCCCACCTTCCGTCCCCCCCACCTGTCCGTGTGTTCTTTCCCTGCCTGTTTGTGAGCTCTCCCAATGCCCGTGCTCAATACTGCTTGCAGCCCTTTCCCCAGTGGCACTGGGCAATGTGTGTACCCAGGAGCACGAGGCAGTGCTAGCAAATGTGAGGGTGGGGGGTCAACAGCAGTGGGCCCTGCCAGAAGCCCTGGGTCCCGGCAGCTGCCCAACCACAGGGTGTGCTGAAGCCAGCCCTGGCTAGGAACCTCTCTTTACTCTTCACTATCAATTATGTTCATTCCTGAATAAAGATTCCTCTACAATTTAATCGGTCTGAGCAGCTCTGTTGTGTATGCCCTCGGTCAACACTCTCCAAGGAGATGGGCGGGGGGAGAGAAACATCCTGCTTGAACAGGTTATAGAATGCAGCAGAATTTACTTCTGAGCAAACACACCGAGGACAAGGCAGGACACAGGGTTAAACTAACATGACCGGCTTTGTGCCTTGATACCCTTTCACTATGCCAGAGAGAGCACCAGGTCTGATCTACAGTAAGTGAGCATGCTCTGTCTGCTTTCCTCCAATCAGTGAGGGGAAAACACAGCAGAAGCCTGGTCATGAATGGAAGAGAGGCACGGGGAGAGGGGGACATGATGCCTCCAGCCCCCCTCCCTAAGATCCACCCCCACAGCTCCTCAACTTTGCAATGAGGTGGATGACAGCTTGGTCACCCAGAGGCGTGACACTGTTCGCATGAGCCACAGTCTATTTTTTCCTCTCGTGGCGACACAACGCAGGCTTAACCCGCCTCCTTTTTACCCTTTAACACCTCCAAAATAACACCCCACAGGGTGACTTCCATGCCAGCAGAGGGGAAAGCTGCACTCAAAATAAAACAAGGAGTCTGGGGGACGATGACCTTAGAAGGCTAACACATTTCTTCTCTTTTATTCCAGCCCAAACTTCTTGCAGACTTGAAGGCAGGCGGGGACCCCTTCCTTCAAACGGGACAAGGGGAGCCTGAACTAAAAATCCGAGTCTCTCCAGAACGAGAATTCGGCCGTCTCATCTGAAGAGAGAGGGCGTCGCCCTCCAAGTCCGCAAAAAGTTTGGTCTGGAATAAAAGAGGAAAATGTGTTGCAGTGCAATCCTCAGAACGTTTTCCGGGGAGTAAGTCTCCTTGAATATACTTGAGTATGATACCGAGTAGACCCGTTTAGGACTGAAGAAGAGGAGACTGGACGTATACCCTGCCTTTCACTACCCAAAGGAGTCTCAGAGCGGCTTACAATCTCCTTCCCCCCCCCCCACAACAGACACCCTGGGACGTAGGTGGGGCTGAGAGAGCTCTTTTGACGACTGCTCCTGAGAGAACAGCTCTGAAAGAACTTGGTCACATTAGCAGCTGCATGTGGAGGGGTGGGGAATCACCCCGTTCTCCCAGATTGGAGTCCGCACTCCTAACCACTACATCAAATTGGCTCTCTAGTCTTCTAAGATGTTCTCAGAGACTCCTTACTAATTTTGAAACTGCAACTTTCCCCTCTGCTGGCATGGAAGTCACTCTGTGGGGTGCCATTTTGGGCTGGAATCACAAAAAATCAGTTAGTGTTTAAGGCGCCACAAAAAGATTGCTTAATTGGACACCCAGAAACATGTGTCTCCCTCTCCCTCCCCATATTGTAGGGTTACCAAAACTTAAAAAGCAAAAAAAAGGACGTATTTCCGACTGACTATTTCAAACAAGCGATCACTATGACAGATCTCACTTTAAATACCCCCTGCTATCTAAGGTGTGGAACAAAGCTTGAGTCCAGTGGCACCTTTAAGACCAAAGTTTAATTCTTATACCCAGATATATTCAGGTGGGTACCTGTGTTGGTCTGAAGCAGCATAACAAAGTTTGAGTCCAGTGGCACCTTTAAGACTGGCAAAGTTTTATTCTGGGTATAAGCCTTTGTGTGAACACACGAAGGTTTATACCTTGAATAAAACTCTGCTGGTCTTAAAGGTGACACTGGACTCAAACTTTATTCTTATACCCAGAATTATACTTTATTGGTTTTAAAGATGCAGCTGGATTTGAATTTTGTTCTATACCCAGAATCAGGGGTCTTTTGGGGCCAGAGCACTGCTCCGGCAGCCCGCGTGGTGGCAAGCCCCGCCCCCGGGTCCCCCGAGCCCACGCAGAAGCGCTGCGGCTCAGGGGAGGCCCGAAGAGCCCCACGCCCAGGTCCTCTGAGCCCGTGCGGGAACGCTGCGGCTCGGGGGGGAGGCCCAGAGAGCCCTGTTGCCATGTCCCCTGGGCCCATGCGGAAGCGCTGTGGCTTTGGGGACACCGGGAGAGCCCCGTCGCTGCGTCCCCCAGCCCGTGCAGGAGCGCTGCTGCTCAGGGGATGCCTGGAGAGCCCCGCCGCCGGCTTCCCCGACCCCTGCAGAAGCGGTAAGGGATCCGCAGGGGTGGGGGTGGCAGGGGCTTGATGGGGTGGGTGGCAGAACTTCCCTCCCTCCATCTCTGCCATCTTTCCCTCCTTTCCTTTTCTTTCCCTCCTTTTCGTTTTATCTTTCCCTTCCCTTCTCTTCCCTCCTTCCTTCCTCTCTTTTCCTCCTTTCCTTCTCTCTTTCTTTCATTCCCTCCTTTCCTTTTTCCTTCTT